TATTCTTAGCAATTTTCTAACAAGTTATAGCAGCTGGTAGAAAAAGGCCTCTTTCATCCTATCTTTCGAGTTTCAATACAGCGATACAGCGGTAGGCCACCGCGAGGAATAGAGTCACAATCTATTTTTTGTTGACGTTAAGTTCATTTTCTTTTTTTCGTTCTCTATTTTAACGTAGCCTCAACCACTAAGTTTTGACTTTGATGAATTTAAAAACCGATATTGTGTTTTTTCATTCTAGCATCAACTCTATTCCTTATTCTTCCTATTCTTGTTGAGCAAACACGAGGTTCTACGAGACATAACAAGGAGGACTTTGAAGTACGTGTCACGTTCCTCACATAGGAATTGAGAACAAGCGCGCAAAACTCTTGAGGCGTTCTGGATTAATTCCAGAAATCCGAAAATGAACCGCAGGGAAGAATGCCTCATTATCGCGCGTGATATTGGGCAGTGTATAAGCCTGTTATTCTTATGGGAGGGGACATTACGCTTCCATGTGAATTCTGTGCGGTTGGTCTCCACGCGACGTACTCAGTGGAAGCCTCATAGAAAGCGGTGAGTGTGCGGAGCTGTGTTCAATGTGATTGAAATCTTGGTTTAAAGTTTTCTCTGTTTGGTTATGGAGGTGTATGGCCGAATAGATTGCTTTTAACTTGACCTTTCCAGGCTCTGAGGAAGGCGAAATCCGAACCATCAACTTGTTCGTGAATAAAGAATAAAATAACACCTCGCGTTTGCTTAGCAAGAATGCGAAGAATTACTTGATTAATGCCGAGGTTAACAGAAAGTCGGTCATGGAATCTATTCCTTATTGTTGAACTTTAAAGCAACATTAGGCATCCAGAATTACTTTTGTGCCATTGTTTCCGCGAATGTGATTTGTCCTACACAGCATAAAATTAGAACCACGGGCCATACACAGTCACATTGTAGATCTACTATTATCAAAGATTTTAGCAGAAACATGGTACTATTAGGACTTGTTTTGATTCCGAGCTGTTCTTTCTGGAAGGGTTTTAAAGCGTACCCAAGGCGTAATATTTGTCGAAAATGCGTTATTTTAATTTTCTCAACACCGTTTTGCAACATTTCTGTCATATCCGTCTGCTTATTAAGTTCAAGTTAAAAAACTGTTGAGAAATATGTAGATTTTTCCATATTTCATGAATTACAATGTGTAATAACCAAACACCTCGGCGTTTACGGTGGTAGACCTCACACTGGTCCGCAAAGATGAGCTACCTGCGGGGATGGTCTCGATGGATCCAGAGATGAGACATTGCAAAAATCCAGAGAAAACTAGTTATCAAACCAGTAGGATATCAATTATAATGAGGCTACTGAGGCTTGGACTATTCTTTGTGTAGACGGAGCATTTAGCTATGGCATAAGGATGCCACTAATCATGAAATAGCGTGATTGTATCTGATATCTATTTCAAATATGATTGTGTTCACTCAGGTTTTTTAATGCTGGGTTGGTGCCAATACGTACTTGGGCACGTGATTGGCCAGTTTTGGTCAATCGTGCCCTTCCTACCGCAGTGCTTCCATTTTACTGATATTACCATCATTGGACAAGTTTTTCCCATTGTCTCGAGATGGGCTAGCCGGTCCGTTCCCAAGTGGTCATAATAAATGTCAGCCCTCTTACATGCCATAAGCTTACTTTTTATTGAGATAGAAAAGCCAAACTCCGCGGTTTGAATAAGCCTTCTGGGAATGGAAACTCTTGGCGGAATGCTTTATAGATACTAATCAATGCAACATTATTGAATTATAGTTTTGAAAAGATTGCAGTCGTTATCCCATAATATCAGACTTTCATTTGTTTTGTATTGCATTAGTGATTGCACTCGTATCGTTTTCAACTTACCGCATAATTAATGTTTAGAAACTTGAACACAACATTGATTCCAGGTGACGTGGTCGTTCGCAACTAAACCCGCACCACCTCATTCACAACCTCTTGCAAACGTGAAGCAGCAAACAGCAGGTGTGCAATTAGTTTTATATCTATTTGTAAAGTTGTAGCTTCTTATAGATTTTGCACTTTTCTTTAAGCGTACATTAGTTTCTCGTTTATAGAACGTAGTAAAACCTCTAACGATTAACGTAGCGTTATTTAACGCTAATCATTTTTTGGAACACTAAAGCAGGTCATGTCGGTTCTGAAAAAACTCATTATTATAGTGAAACTCGGGAAGTTATCGCTTCTGTTTTTATTTAATTGTATTTTTTAAAATGTTTCTTGGAATATCCTCCATGTTTTTGCTCTTCAAATCTTTTCAAACATATTTAAAAGCGTGGGCGGGATAGTGATTCCAGAAGGAAAGCGGTGTGTAGCAGCAGTAGTAGTAGTAATATGCACATGGGGACTCCTCGGTCTCCAGTAGTTCTCAGAGGAGGATAAATTTTATGCTAATTAAATGAGATCGATGTGGAAAACCTACATTGAAGCTGCGTGTTTTCATAGTGTACTTTGCCTTCTCTGCCTCTTCTCTTTCTCTTTTTAGTGTGATTACAGTCATGTCTTAGTAGATGATTCAATATATGATTTTATAAATTTGGTTATGCTTGTCTTGTTGCAATAGTAATACAAACGAAGAACGGTGCAAGACAGGCGATTCATAGTGTGCAGGTATTTTCTTGTGATTATTCTTTCTATAACTTCAAGAACGACGAGATATGAGCAAAATTCGCGGTGTCAGATAGATTTCGAACCCGCAGTTACCCTCAACGAGGCTCACATGATGCCCGTATTAACCGAGGCCCTTGTTTTGCCCTTCTGTGAGCTAGTTTCAAACCTAAGCGTGTTATAAGCTGTCGTCCTTCAACGGGAATGATCTAGATTGCAAAAATAGATATTGAACACAGTTAGTATACAGCGGATCCCTAAGCTAAAGTTGAAACACTGTGAATTCTTTCTATGGTTTTCTTTTATAACTTCATCAAAGTTAGGTATGCGCAGTGCCGTTCATCGCTTGGCTATTGGCCAATGTTTTGCTTCAAGTGAATTCATCACAATTAAGTGTGCAGGATCGCCACTAATCTTATAGGCTTATACTTTTAGAGATCTAACTCTTTGTACGCTTTGGAAATGTTTTGTTAGCAGTTCGCGCAGAATGCGTTTTTTTGTGCACTCGTTGAATGAAGTCGCTTTAGCTTTATTTGATTATTGGTTTGTACTTTCTCCTATTTTTCGAAACCTGTTGAACGTTTTTCAACTTTATGATACAGTATACCTCACCCAGTTTTAAAATTAGAAGTTGAAAGTACGTTCTTGAAGATGTTTCCCAGCGTTTGGACTGGCTGAAAAGGGACCACTATTTTTGAATACTTATTGGTTTTTTCCTTAGATTTGTAAAAAAAATTTTGTGTTCAATTTGAATAAAATTGTTTAGTGTTCTATTATAATAATGCGTTACTGAAAACGTGTCTTCCAATCATCTTTCGATTTCTTTTTTTATTCCCATTCCAATTACATCATTACCACTGTTCAGTTTTTACCTGGACATTTGAATGGCCCATTTTCACTAATGGTTAAGGATTCAGCACAGTTACCACTAGTACATCAGTCCTTTGCGATCATAGACTGTAATAGTGGTCTGTTTCGTTCATGGTCATGTATGCGCAGTGCACGTTAATTCCTTTGCCACCATGTTATAGAATAAGAAGAAGAAAAAGAATAAGAAAAGAGAACAGAAAAATAAGAATACACAATAAGAATGAGACACGATGGCAAAACCACATTGTGGTTATTGATTTTCTTGAGGGTCATTTTTTTTCTTTTCTTTCTCTATGTTTTCCATAGATACCTCGAAGGGTCATTCTGCCTGTGCTAAGAAGTACGACATCTCATAATCGTTGTTAGTTACATGAAAACATTAGGTAGCGGCGATATGAATACTTTCATGTGGGATTTCTCCGCGAATGAGTATACCTCTCAGGGATACTCCAGAACATCGTTATCACAGATGCAACGTTCCTTATACTATTTTTTCATCGATTTCTCATACAGCAAATTACTTCGGAGACAGTTTAGTCGTATTCTCGATCATATTTGGCCATTTTGCTTTCCAATTTATCGCTCCGAATGGAAGTGTCGATGCTGTTTCAACGAAGGAGAGAAGGTAATGGAACTGTGAGCAGATCGAATGGTTCAGCTCGTGAGAAACTATATATTAAATCTCAACATGAATTGCTATAGATAAACATAATTTTTGAGACTGCGTTTCCAAGCGCGTCCAATGGGCTTGCTGAAGTGTTTCAAAAATATGCTGTGGAAAATGTGAGGGACTGCATGTGCCTGTCAGAAAACCCTCCCGAACAAGTCTCCATTGCTCATCGTTTTTAACTCATCGTCTTATATTTCCGCTTATAGATTTGTGGTATATCAACCCTGTCGAAGATTTTATCATTATCATGGGCACCCGACACATGCTAAAAATACACCCGAGGTCTAAAATTTCCTACCGTGCTTCGAAGTGTTTACCCTTATAAATGTTATATTTTCGTGATCTAGCATTGTTTATATACACGTAAATATGTATATATGCATACATATGTATATATACATGTATACCATAAATGCCCGATGTGGTGCACTTCATGCGTTGAGTCCAAATGCATGAGGACCATGTGTCGGTAGCGTCAGTGGTGGTGGCAAACACCATCAGGTGATGAAACGGCCCACTTCGACGGTGGTATCAGGTTTTTGTAATCGTTTTTTTTTTTTTAAGAATTCGATTATTCAGTTATCGCTACTAACTGTCTATCCATATTTTCCAAATGCTGTTTTTAGTTTTAATTTCGGCTAATTGACGTTGTATAGATCGAATCTTTATTGGTTTAAGTGAACGGTTTCCGGAGTATTTTTTTAATGATTTTTCAGATGTGTTTCCAATCTCAGTATCGGTTTATGTACATTATCACCCACTTAATTATTTGCAACCATTTTAGGCCCACCTGTGGGCCGTAAGTCGTCTTTGGTCGGGCATGGTTCCGCATCGTCGTCAGGACACACGAGTCCTTCAGGTACAGTTTTTTAAAATGTGCCTAGGGAAATTTTTTCATTTGATAATATCATCATACTTTCAATAGGATTGTTCGGCAATTTATGTGTAGTAGCTGTGGATTTTTTGAATATTAGACGGAGGTTATTTTGAAGCTTGTCTTTAGTGATATGGTATAATTTTGCGTATTTCGAAATTTAGAAGTACGCGTGTGGGGCAGCGGTTGGAGGCGCCACTGCGACACACACGTGGAATCGATCCCCGCTTCCATGGCCCACCAAGCCTTCCATCCCTCCGGAGTCGGCAAATTGGAACCAGACTTGTCTGGGGGATAGCAGCATCGGCTCGATACAGCGGTAGGCCACCGCGCGTAATTGTAAAGACTGGATATGCATTCAATCATCTCCAACGATACTTGATGAAGTCGAATGCATAGCGCATGCCTCAGGGATTGGTCAACTCCGAGACTTTAATTCGAAATAAGGTTTAAAGTAATTAGAGTTAAAGAGGTAATTTAAAAGTCGACGCTAAAAAGGGCAATGGTAAAGTGATTCCAATAATGCTTTAACAATTCTGTACTAGTTCTTTAAAAGATATACGACGACGTTTAATGTGATGTTTAAAGTTAACACTCACATTTGCTTTTAAGTGTTATCACCTGGTGAAATATTCTTTATCATCTGGCGAGGGATTCTAATTATTACACTATTAAGTGTCGAACTTTTCAATGCGTTTTTTATTTGATCGCTCATTTCTATGCAAATTCTTTGTTTCTGAAGGTTACAAATACAGATCTGGAGGAAGGGAGGAAGTGTGGCGAAAACTGTGATTTCTAGTTTTTTGCTGATAATTTTTGGAGTAGTTCTTTGGCATTCTGCGTTCCAGAATTCTTTTCATTTTTAAGAGTTGAACGCAACACCTAATTCGCTTTAGAATCCAACTTCATTTAATGTAAAAATGTTCTTTGTTTACAGAATCCCCTGCGCGTTCCGTTGCTGGTGGCTCATCTTGCGGTGAGAGTGAACGATCACTAACGACACCACCACTTCCACCTGCTCTCAAACATAATGCAACAACCAGTGGTGCACGTAAAGTTTGTTAATTTTATTGTTTTCACTTTTCGTACTTGGTAAATAGATACGCATTGCATTTAAAGTCCGTTTTTGGTTATATATGGGCTACAGGTTTTAATTAACTTGTATCCCATGACCGACTGTTAGCTTCGACGTTGATCAGTAATTCACTTTTTTTTTTTAAATGGCCAGGCAAGAACTTGTTATTACAGTGTTTATTCATTCACAATAACTAACATTTCGGTACTTTCGCCATCGTCAGAGCCTGGAAAAATCAAATTCACATGCAGTTTACTCAGCCGAACACTTTCATAACCTCAGCAGATAAAACTTCATACATAAATTCTTACTGGCATAGTAAACAGCTTCTTTTAAACACTCACCATTTTGTTGTTTGTGTCTTTTATTTATTTGGTGGAGACCGGCTACACAGGGTCTTACACAGGTGAACAATGCGCCTGGCTCAGTCAAAAAATTAACGCGAGGTTACGCTTGATTACTAAGCACTCCTCCTTGCGGTTCATTTTTGAATTGTTGGAACGCATCCAAAAGGCTCCAGTAGTTTTGCACGCTGACGTTTCTGATTCCTTTACCAGTGGCCTTTACTTCGGTTTTATCCGTTATTCTTTCGTGTCACGCCTGCCTAGTGGGGTGTTCTGCTTAAATTTAAGTTTCCTGCTCTCATACATTGACGCGAAGTGGACTGTTCTTGTCACCATTATATTCGATTCCACACGCTTTATAAAAGATCGGGCGACAATTCAGTAATGAATCGAAGCACTATCTGATATTACAACGTCGTTAGTTTCTCCAGTTTGTGATGGCGATCATTTGTACTACTGGTTCATTTCTAATGCTTTTGGTCTAGCAGATTAACTGGAGAAGGATAACTCTAGTTTGTAGAAGCCGATGAAATAGACAACGTATTTACGCATAACGAAATCCAATCGCTTAATGTTTTGTAGTGCACTTTTGATCCGTGGTATGACCTTTGCGATGTTTTTCATGGGAATGATTGCTTTTTGTATTTGGTGCTTATAGGGCGATTTCATTATGCGGTGATTTTGGAAAGAGCTGGAATATCTTTAGTAGTGCATAAGCACCATTGAGACGGCTGGCATGAAGAAAGGAGTTCATATTGGATTCTTTTTATTGCGTTAGAGGTGTGTTCTATGTTGCCGTCCCATTATAAACTCAACTTTCGTAGTTGCTTTCACCTTTGAAGTCGTCCAGCTTTGCGTAAATGGTAATTGGTAGGTAAAGGAACGATGATGAATGTGTTTGCTGAAGCGCACAAGATACGTGAACAAAAGGTCATGTAGCCGTCTAAATAATGCATGTGTTTTTCTAGTGTTTCAATACTCCTTTACTTTGAGTGAATTAGTAACTGAATAAAAAACTAATCGTTGTTTGTTGGGAAAGTGGAGGTGATTATAGGCGGCGTATGCTCGCTCACACGGAGCGTATCATATGTGTGTAGTGCAGTTTGATTAGTTCTTGGTATCACCAAGTAGTGTAATTATTTCTCGTAAACGGTGCCCATTTTCTCTCTCGTTTCGTGTTCTTATGGCTTTCAAGCAAATCTTCATATTCATTGGCGTAAGCCATTGCGAAGCGTTCGCTAAAACAGCTAGAAAGACTAATATATCGAGTCGGCCCTTCGCTGCTGTGATGTTTGATGAATTAGCTTTCGATCAATCCAGCGTTCCATGAAAAATGCGTCACTGGCATGTTATAGTTAGTGGTGTTGACTGAAATTACGATTTTTTTCTCTCGTAATTAATTTCTCCTTCCATGCTAATGTAATTTGGAATAGCGCTTTAAATTTCATGTGTAATTCATGTGAGATCCATTCGTATAGTTAATGTGGAAAAGTGCTGATACTTTCACAATGATGCTGAGATGTTTGCAAAACTCCGGGCCGTAAATGTGTGCAGTGGGATCGAACACGCTATTACCTTTTCAAGGGGCTAACGTGTTCACCGCTACACGATGCGGGCCTTTCGTTTCACTTTTCCTTCCGCTAGTTTTCTATTCAACAGTGCCATGTAACGTTGTGGTTGTATTTCACAAAATACTCTTCCGTGAGAAATTCTGGAACTCAGGAAATAAAAACTTAACGTCATGCTGATACTGTCACAGTGAAGTAAATAATTCGATCCACCTGGGTTTTCTTACTTCATCCTTGACTTAAGTCGTCATAAACGGAATTGAATAGTGGCAACTTCAATTGAGAATGTTTTACTAATGTGTTTGTCGAGAAAATACCTTTTATTATGCAACTTTACTTCGTTCTGCTCTGCTTATCCTCATGGCTGTTGTTTTCATTCAAGAAGCATTTGAACCGGAAGTGGAAAAGCTAGACTAGCCATCATTTTGGAAGACAAAAACATGTTTTCCGTTGGTTCCATATCGTAGTAGGCGTGTCGTCGCAGTGGTGTCATCTTAGAATGGGCAGAATCAGGTGGTGAATGTTGTCGTTCGTTGTTGCAGTTTTGGTTTTGATACCAGCTATTAATTAAGGACCACCATTTCCTGTAAGAATAGTTGTTGTTATACTTTAGAGTATATAGGAATAACTTTGTAACCTTAAGTTGCTCTGAATTTTCAGTTAAGCTCAGCTTAACTTAAATTTGAACCAGTTTCTTCAGTTAGAATCTACCACTTCTAAGGAATTGCTATGTTTAGCTTTCTATTCGTCTTCCTATTCTGTATTTCATTCACTGTTTAAGTATTCTAAGGTATTCTAAAGTAGTATTTTAGCATTGTTAATGTCCAATAGATTTTGTTCCTCACTTTATAAGTTCTCCATAGAATAGTAACAAAAGTACGTTCCACTTAGTTGTCATAGAGGTAATTATAGCAAGTTTCATCCTTTTGTTTGAAAACTGTCATAATGACGACGTGTCAATCATTTGTTGATTACAAATCGCTTTCATCAATGTCAGCTCAGCTAACGAAGTTTCATGTTTCATCTCAGAGGTTCTCGTGCTTTAAACCTAGTGCAGTCTCAGTTCTGGTTTATTCTGATTATTTGTATTATCTTATTCCGTCCTATGAAACAGTTTTAAGAAAGTGGTACTAAGAATCGGGCGAAGTAAGCAGATTGCAATCTGGAGCACTTTTCTATTGAATTAAAATTTTGCTTTTTTGATTTTGAATGGATGAGTGTGGATTGTTTGGACATTATTTCGCAGGCTTCTATTGATATATGGGATATTTTACTACTTCCTTATTTACTTGAATACTTGAACGGTCTGTCTTCAGTTGTCTGGATCCCAGAACATTTTCTATTTGTTTCTTTGCCTTCTATGATTGTGGTTTCATTCGAGCATGGTGACAGGTGCGAGTCTTATATCGTGAACTGGAAAGGAATTCAGCTGCGAGTACAGCTAATTGAATTTAGTTACGAACACGTGCGCACAACGGGTAAATAAATGATCGTCCTATAGGGCGCGTGCATCTTCGTAGAGTCCTCTAGACTCTTTTGCAGCTCTTTCTGCCCATCCATCTTCTGTTCTTCTCATTTTATGATCAGCCCATCTATGTTTCGCTGTTGATGTGTGTTCACCTGGGTCTCAGGGATGAGATTGACTTTGAAGGTCAGACGTTCGCATTCCAGCTAAATATTCTCTGTGCTTGTTATATTTCATACAACATCGTTCAGACCATCTGTGAGTAGTGCACTGTATAACCGACGTGGTCGAAATTTCCGCCCACGTCTTTGCTGTAAAACAGTGTTAGGAAGACTGTTAAATCGAAAACGTGAGCGCGGATTTCCAGGTAATTTAGTTGGTGGGTACCCTCCTTGAGAAACCTGGATGTGGTCTTTGCTTCTCTCCTTCTTTTCACTAATTCATCCTTCGTGTTGTTCTCCATGTTCATCGCATGGTTCTAAGAGGCATCCAAATCAATTTTTTCGCCTTCGCACCAAAGGTTTCTTATGAATTAGTCCTCTTCCGATTTATTCAGTCTGATCATTTTTCCCGCTTCGTTCAGCACATTCCGAATCGTCGTCTCTGTTTCGTTGGTATGTTTTGGAAAGATAACGGTGTTGTTCGGTAAAACGAATATTTGGTAGGGATTTTCCATCAATACATATGCCTTCATGCCAGTTGAGTGACTTCATTATCCGCTGCAGTGCGAGTGTAAACGTCTTTAGCGATATGGTGTCACCATACTGAACCATTTTTTCTACGGGTATGAAAGAAAGAAAAAGAGAGGTTGATGGAAAAGGTGTATTTTCGAGCAGTTCCGGTAGCAGTCAGCATAGGACTGGTTAACTCCTTTGTCGTCGAGCATTGATAGGATTGCATTCGTTTCGGCGTTGTCAGACGCTTTTTCGTAGTCGGCAAAAGTAAGGACTAGCGGCAGTTCTAGTCCCGACAATCGTCTGTAACCTTTGGTAAGGTGTGGATGTGGTCCATGCAGCAAAATCCTTGTCGAAATACCGCATCCTCAACTGATTCCGCCTCATCCAATGTCCTTGATGTACGCGACAGAATAATCTTGGTAAAGAGCTTGTAGAGCGCACTTAAGAAGCATATCGGGCGATGGTTAAGAAGCCTCCCTTAAACACCTTTCTTGGGCATGGTAGCATGCGAGACACTTTCCACTTGTTTAGAATTCTTCCCTTTGAAGGTAGGATGCCATGTGGTTTGTGAGATCAACTTATAAATTATGACTTCCAACTCTGAGATGGTCGTTTGTGATATTCTCGGGTCCTGGAGCGGTGCATTTCCATAATTCCATAATTTCCATTTCTTTGTGACTTAAACCTGAGAAGGAAGAATTCCAGACCTTTTTTCTCCAGGTGATTTTTAGGTTCGAGACGGGTATTGTGGCATAGAAAGATTAGGTTTTGAGCCTTTTAATTGTCAATTCCGTGTCATGGTGGGGTATTTCTATGATTTCATCTCCGCTCATAGGATGGAACATTGTAGTCGCAAATATCCTGACGGCACTTTTGCGGACTAGATAGTTGTTGAGCTGTTTCTGAAAGCTTTTCCTGCTTATAGCATCCTCCTGCAGAATCCCATGACTGACTTTCTGTTAACCTCGGCATTGATCAAATAATTCTTTGTATTCTTGTTGAGCAAGCGCGAGGTGTTATTCCATTCTTTATTCACGAACAAGCTGACGTTTCGGCGGATTTCGCCTTCCTCAGAGCCTGGAAAGGTCAAGTTGACAGCAATCTATTCGACCAAACAGAGAAAACGTTAAACCAAGATTTCAATCGCATTGAACACAACTCCGCACACTCACCGCTTTCTATGAGGCTTCCACTGAGTATGTCGCGTGGAGGCCAACCGCACAGAATTCACATGGAAGCGTAATGTCCCCCTCCCATCAGAATAACAGGCTTATACACTGCCCAATATCACGCGCGATAATGAGGCATTCTTCCCTGCGGTTCATTTTCGGATTTCTGGAATTAATCCAGAACGCCTTAAGAGTTTTGCACGCTTGTTCTCGATTCGTGTGCGAGGGTCGTGACACGTACTTCAAAGTCCTCCCTGTTATGCTTCTGGGTCCTATGCGTGTCCAGTTGAATATTTGGTTTACGTTTCCCGACTAGTTCTTTTATGCGGACACAGAGTGGTCTACCTGCTTCACCAATGTATTCGTCCGCACACCTTACAGATCAGATAAACTGTTAGACAGTCATATAGGCGGTTACGAACTAACTGGCGTTTAAGATGTGTTCAATGTGATTGGAATCTTGGTTTAGCGTTTTCTCTGGTTATGGAGGTGTTTGGCCGAATAGATTGCTGTCAACTTGACCTTTTCAGGCTCTGAGGAAGGTGATATCTGCCGAAGCGTCAGCTTGTTCGTCAATAAAGAATGGAATAGCACTTCGCATATGCTCAACAAGAATACGAAGAATTCCTCCTGCAAAAGTTTTCGAATGCTGGCATTTATTATCAGCTCTGTTGCAGCACGATCATGCTTCACTTTCGTTCTCAAACAACTCCTTACTGGCAGCGGAGGTGCGATCTGAATTTCTTGTTTGAGGAACCGAGACGATTTTGGCACAGCTTTCAAGTAATTCGGCAAGCACATCGTAGTCTTCATTCATCTTCAACGTTTGGATAGGATTTCCTTCAAATACCCTCGTCCTATACAACCATACTTGTTCTTCTTGGTCGATGACATAACTTCCGCGAATAAGGTGGTGATCGGACCCAGTACGGAATGATGGGACCAGGCGATCTGTCAAGTAGGCACCATCTTCCCTTTATGAGAATAGGGACGATCACCGCATGAGTCGCGCCGCTAGGAGAAAAGCGTGCTAAGTGGCGGCTTTCTTTCCTCTGGAAATACGCGTTTCCACAGAAGAGGTGGACTCGGGTGCGGTATTAAAACGGAGGTTAGGAATGAAAAAAAGACCTATTGCCCAAAGGCTGTATGGAAAGCGTAGCTACAGATACGTTGGTTGCTTAGTATACAACGCAGTAAGTAATTACATGTAAGTAGGCTGTGTTTTGGGGTTTTAATCATGTTTTTTTTTCGTATGTAATGCTGAGATATTTAAAAAACTCCGGACCGCAGGTGTATGTGGTGGGGAACGAACACGCGCTGTTGTCCTTACCGGGGAGCAGCGCACTTCACCACCACACCATCCGGGTCCTTGGGCATGGTAGAGGAACGAGTTTTTTTAGCACGGAATTTGACCACAACTTAATTCTTCATTTGAGTGTCATTCGGTGCATTGCTATCACTTGTCCTTACTCATATCATGTTTTCATTTATATCTATGCTTTTCAGGATCAGTCTGTCTACCGCGGCCAACGTTCTATGTCGCTCGGTGGTCCAGCACATGAATCACTCATGTCGCAGATGGTGGCCCGCAAAAGTGCCACGACCATCGATTTATCGCCTGGAGAGAGTAATTTCCTAGACTGTTTTGTTTTTTGAATTGTCTTTCTCGATTTGTATCATTTCGTGGTACCTCTGCTAGGAAGCTTTTTCCCTTTTTGGCAAAAATCTACTGGTTTGAAAATTTTGCGCTAAGCTATATCGACTACGGTGACGTTTATAGTGCCGTATGTTTGAATTCTAAACTCATCTAAAACTTTAAGGATGTTGAGAATAATTCAGAGAACAAAGTCTGTCTGGTATGCGACAACATGCGCTTTCTGCTCGACCAGAAATTGCTCACCGCTCATCCGGACACGATGCTTGGGCGAATGTTCGCAATGCGTGACGCGAGAGGTGCCGGAGCCGATCTGGTTACACCAAATGAACGAAACGAATTTGTTGTAAGCGTTGTCCTTTATTTATTCTAGATTCTATTCCATTTAGATATTTACTTTTTTAGATAATTTTAATTAGATATTGCTCATGTTTAGATTTGTACTTGTTGAGAACTAAGCGATGAAATAACCAAGGATACTGTACTATATCCAGAGTCGCCGTTGTACTTCAGATTTGCTTTATCGTAAACCACAACGCCTGCAACAACTACACGATCATAAAGAACGTAGAAATATACTAACCTGTGGTTTCTAAGCATTTGTTTAGGCAGAAGGGAAAGCAACGTAAAAGGAAAAATCTAATAAAATGGCTTCGTTCACAAATCATTTAAAGTTTCTGCATTTTGAAGACTTCGCACAATCTTAACTCTTTTATTTACTTCCTTTTTCTTCTTAATGGCAGGGTATGTTGTGAAATATAACTCGTATATAATGCTGAGATATTTGCAAAACTCCGGACCACAGATGTATGCAGTGGAGAACGAACACGCGCTGTTGTCCTTATCGGGGAGCAGCGCACTTCACCACTGCACCATCCGGGTCTTGCAAAACATCTACTCCAGACCCGGATGGTGTAGTGGTGAAGTGCGCTGCTCCCCGGTAAGGACAACAGCGCGTGTTCGTTCCCCACCGCATACACCTGCGGTCCGGAGTTTTGCAAATATCTCAGCATTATATACGAGTTATATTTCGCAACTACGGTCAGTATCCAATTCGAGTAAATGGCAAAAAGCAGTATACTTGAGCGATGAGATGAGTAAGTTCAGCATACAAAGACTGACATTTCAACGCATGAGGTTCTGTATTAGTTGTTTTTACGTAATTCGATAACGAAAATCGAGCTGACCGTTCAGGCTAAATATCCAACCCACTTGTCGATTGCTGCAATTGTTTTTTTCTCATTGTTGTTGTTGGTTTGTTTCAAGCAGTGCAGTTTCATCAAGCATAAGTTCGGTTATTCCATTCTTTTTTATATTCGATCATATCGGTTATCTAGTAGGTAAAATTCAATAATAAATTCATATCAGTGGAAATTGTTCCTATGCTTGTGTCAAGTTGTTCCGCAAGCTCTTGAACAATTGTTCGCGTGTTTGCTTCCATTGGTGCCTTCAATCATCGTCGTCAAATTTATTGGGGCGTCTGCGGCCTTCCTTAACTTTGCGGTGAAAATCACCAAATCGGAATTTCCGGAACCGTGTTTGCATTGTTGATTCATCAATACTTATCGTCACCCCAAACTTCGTTAATGTTTCGAGCCGTCTGTGCTGCACTACGACCGAGTTTGAATTCATAAATGGAAATTTGACGAAAATCCATTTTTGACATCTAAAATTGCAGAGTTCAAAATTAGTAAAGAAAAGAAAAAAGATTAAGTTTTGATAATATATAAAGACATGGTTAGAAAGAGCGTAAGGTCGGCTTTCTAACGATATATAATGTTGCCAGATAGAACGAATATTTTATTGATAAAGAATAGATTAAATTGGAACAATAAATATTTTAAAACGCTGATTTATTTCTGAACGGCCTATTAAAATAGGTGATTTTGACACATTACGATGAAGTTGACTTTTTAATCCGAAGAATTGTTATCACGGCTTTGTCACATTTATTCTATTAATTTTTTTTCACCATCTTTTGTTCCAATCGTTTGTTATCTGCAGATTATTAGCTGGATTTGCATATGAGATCTTTGCTTTGGGGTTTTTTTTTAGTTTTTTGTTTATGTACAGCAGCTTAGAGAATTCCAGGTTGCTGATGGCACAACAGCTGCCTGCTTCCGTGTAGCGCTGGAGTACTACACTTTGGGTCAAATGCGTTGCCCGCCAAATGTTTCGGTAGCTGAGTTGAGAGATGCTTGTGACTATCTTCTTATACCATTCAATGCTAATACTGTTAAGTAAGTCTTTTGAATGCGCATATTTGTCTTTTATTCCATTGTTTTAATTATTTCTTTAATTTTGTTCCAATTCTTTACTTTTCTTGTGATGCGGGGAATGTCTTTTTTGTCGTCAACTGTAGACAACTGTCTGTACTTACTGCTTCGACCTAGTTTCGATTAGCTGTCAAGTGAACATGTACAGTACGGTGGAAAAAAATTTCTGGAACGCACTGAACTAAAAATGGACACCTTAGTGTCCATGCTTTCTGTTATGAGTTAACGTATAGGACACGAATGACTGTGAGCATAGGTAGGTAGTGAATATATATATCAGAAAAGCCGAATAAAGCCAAAGCTGTGAGGATTCGAAGGTTTTTTTGCATTAATTTAATAATTTCTGCGAGATTTGGTGTTAATAGTGATACTTCCAATGCTGTTCTTTGTGATGCATTCAAATGTTTTACGAGTAACTTCTATGTCCGTCTATTGGGAAAAGGCGTTTGAAATTTGGATTATTATAGATGCCATCGATTAAAATAATTTCGTGCAGGGCTCATCCATTTCTCTTGTTCAAATGTGGTTCATTGTTCATCTTAAGACTACAAGCTGACTGAAATCTTTTGTCATCAACTTGTTGGTCATATAATGACCATCCGTTTTGTTCTGTACGTCATGTTAGGCAGCAAGATTCGAGGGATAGGAGGTTTCCGAGTTTTCGGGAAAAAATGCTTTTACTTTTGCTTCCATTTCTTTTCTTTCTCTATTTTTCTTTCGAAAAACAATTACTTCTTGAGTGATTTGTTAAGCTGTGTATCCTGACTTAAATTATATATTTTGTTACCGCAATGTGGTTATTATTGTCATATAATTGTTGAATAATTTTTTTTTAATGTTTTTTGGCTTATTAGGACCTTTACTACTTTTTTATAGGTGTGAGAACCTTCGTGCTTTACTCCATGAACTTTCTAATGAAGGAGCACGAGAGCAGTTCTCGAATTTCCTAGAGGAGATAATTCTTCCACAACTTGTCGCTAGTACTGAGGTGAGACCGTATTTATAACGATTGTAATTCCGTCGTCTTATGGTTAACATTTCTTTTAAATTGGTTTTCATAACTGAGAGCCCGTTTCTTTCATTATCGTTATTGTTTTTGTTATTACTATTAGTATTATTTTTATTAATATTCCCTACATTTTACATTCTACCTTGCCCGTCATCATATCTTTGTGGATCCCAGCACTTCTTGTGTTCCATTCGTTTTCCTCACGCGGTTGTTATTAATTGATTGATTAACTAGTTATTTAAACTAGTTTGTTCGCGTTAATGCTTTCCATTAATGATTTTCAACGTTTTATATATAAAAGAAATAATTGAGCAAAACGAGTAGTTCATAGGTATTTTTATGGGAGCTCCTTAATTCAAGAGGTTTACTCTAATGTGGAATTTCGGATGATAATGCTTCGAGGTTCTCGGGTTGGTTCAAAGAGTGTTGGAACTGTGTATATCGCAATTCGACACAAGAGAATAGTCTCATCCGAGGTGTTACAGTAAATTATTCTGGGAATGTGTTATAGAATATTGATTGGAAATCATGAAAGGGCTGTTTTCCGTCTTACACATGGTGTGTTATGTTTTTTAAAGTTTCGAAAGCGCAGCGATTATAGTTGTTGTTATGCAATATAGAGGTGGTCATTGTTTAGATCCCACACTACTTTAACAACGCCTCTTGTCCCTCCATGATGGGAAAGTTGTTATCAGACATAACTAAGAAGAACTTTCTAATCCATAAGTTGGGCGGACTCCTGCGATGGAGATCTCTTAACGCTGTAGTAGATCCATCACAGGATTTTGTTGGCAGTCAGCTCTACCAGCCTTTCATGACACTATTGTAATAGAGAATGTCCTCACTCTTTGGATAGCTGATGCGGAAAAGCAATCGTAGTGAAGGAAATACCGAAACCCGTACAGTGTGCGAATTCAGATCATGTACTTACATAATAAAGTGTGCTTCCCCTTGTAACAATTCTCAGCACCGACTATTTAGGTTGTTATTGACAACCTGGTGTATAGCTACGAATAAACACTGACTTATGCTCTCTGTGTAAACGAGACAAGACAATACTGCTTATAGGAAACTATAAAACAAATGTAATTGGTTTAGCATGGCGAACGCGAATGTCATATTGTTGTATTGCTCGATGAAGACGTCGTCGATTGGGATGATGAATATCCACCACAAATGGGTGAGGAAACTACTCATGTCGTCTACAGCTCTCATTTGTACAAGTTCTTCAAATACGCTGAAAATCGAGACTGCGCGAAACAGGTATATCAGATAAAGGCTTTAATTCACAGTTACTTGAATTTTCCTCTTGGTTAAAGTTGTATTAACGAAAAGTTTGGTTTTCCGTTTCTCATTTTCTCACTGTGAGTTTGTAGAACTACGTAGGAAGGGCCTCTAAAACACTTAGGAATTATTTTCCAATGTCCACTGATTCTGGGTCATTTTCTCTGTTGTTGTTAGTACGCTTTTTGACTTATATGGGCAGGTATAGGGAATCCTATAGTAATGAAAAGTTCGTCGAAAACATGGGTAATACTTGACATGGACATGGAAATTTCCTGTTCTTGAGTCAGGTGCTTCCACCAGAAGTTTGCAACTTCTTTCAGGTGTTAAAATCACGTGGTTTGAAGAAAATTCGACTCGGAATGGAAGGCTATCCAACGCACAAGGAAAAAGTAAAGAAACGGTTCAACAAAGCTGAAGGTGAGCGTTTAAGCAGCGCTATGGTTTAGCATCATTACGTTGTAAAAACCATTGATGGGTGTTCACAGTTTGATTTTTGGCGAATGCTTGAATTGGAGAAGTTGAAACTTTTTTGAGGGATGTTAAACGCAAACAATTGCAAACAGTAAAGTGGAGCTAAGAGTAGGATTTCTGAAATAAGTGAAACTGAGCGAAAATGAAGTAGTTAAAAATTTTTTAGGTGTCAAATTGCTTATGACTGTTGGAAATTCTCATGTTGTTAACAAGAAGGAGAACTGTTTACATTTTACCAACAACGCAATTATATCATAAGTAGTATTTATCAATCGGAAACTGTCAGTTGTTTGCCGACTTTATCTTAAGCGCTGCTCTGGGTAGTTCTGTATGGCATGGAAAGCGCGGTGTGTATTGAGCTCAAATCATTGAGAGATGCATAGATTCGTATCAACTTGTGTACGCTTATTAATAAACCGGATCATTTATAATCCGTGGCGAAGTTAAATGAAAGTTGACCTTGGAAATACTTCTTGCTTGCGAAGATACACTGACAGTCGCGAATGTGTTAGTGAACGTCAGATTTCTTGCTGAAGATTTTAACTGCTCGTAATGTCACTATTCTGTAGTGATTTACAACTACGTACAACGTCCGTTTGTGCATTGCTCTTGGGAGAAGGAGGAAGCACGAAGTCGACATGTGGATTTCGCGTGTCCAATTGTGAAGGTTCGAATCATTATAGTTGAATGCTGAAGTTATTTTAAGGCTGCGTTCACTTAGAGACTGTCGCAGATTTAAATTTGTTTCGTAAAATTAGTTGGACGTTTGCTATTATTTGATTCAGAGTTGAAGTGATTGGTTAGTACAGTCTTTGCGATCAACACGCTTTCATTTCATCCTGTTTTCTCTTCGTTTTATTTTTCTTAAACGAGTTAGATTTTCTATTCGTCTTTGCTATAATAACAATACTCTTTTTCTTGGTTTCCTAACCCTCACCAAGTCATTAATTATGTTCGGGAACATTTGCATTTTTTACTATGCTCAGGCTGACAAGAAGAAACCAATTTTACTGTAACGAAATATGATTTTTACACTAATATAGTATCATTCTAAAAATGACTTTAGTCGAAGTCAAATCCAAGTCTTGCGGCTGCGGCATCTGACCCTCTTCCACAACCGGCACCTCTGCATCAGCAACGCGATCATAACCTCCTCGGAGTAAATACAAATCAGAACCAGGTGGAGTCATTTTTCATCTGTTTAGATGATGTGTGAAATAGTACACCTCGAAATCTTAACTGATGTTTAGTACGTCCAACCACTTCATTCCCCGCCAGTAAATTTCCATCGAGATCGATTAGATCTGGAACTGCGAGATGACGAGTGATGAACATGCGTCCAGCAAATCGTATTCGAGTTGTGGCGTAAATCTTGTTGGTTGTTAACTTTTGACATTACTAAAGTTCTTATATTGTGATATTTGTCAAACCGTCTTTCGACCCAATGTTGACGCTCGACTTCGCGACACGTACCACTTTTTCAATAGCGCATGTTTTGTGTGGTGGTGGTTCTACTTTCTCTGTCCCTTTTTCCTCTCTTGTGCATATGAATGTCCAGGTGCTCGCTAGGAAGTTAAATCTCGAGTGAATAATCTACAATTGATCACTAACTACCTACTTTCTTGTTTCAATTGGTGTTCCAAGAACAAGTCCAATCAGTAATGCTCAATGCTTGACTCATTTTTTAAACATATCTAATCGCTCAAAAATTTTCTGACATTGCCTGCTTTTGTGATGTTTTTAGCGTGCTTTCTGTGAATTCGGACTGATCGGACTCTAAATTATGGGCATCATGAGAAGCGCCAAGACAGATTGCTCGTATTTTGTCATGCTTCTAATCGTAGCCTTCATTGTATTGCTACGCTTCAGAGATGCCGATTAATCATTGCAAGTCGATCAGTGATCGCAGTGAACCGACATCTATGCGATATTCTCGGAAGCTTGTCCATTTGTATCTACTCTGACTAGTTCTCAACACACGAGCTCATAACTGCAATACCGTGTTACCAGGAACACTGAAAGAGTCTGACGCATTGGCGTTCACTCTAACGACATTCGAGACATCTCCAAGTGGCATGTGGTAAAAGAACGTTGGTGTCTGAACGGTGCGATATTCCTTAACTCTTCGATATATTCGTTTGCAAATCTTTCTGGGAAGAGTTTAAGTGGTGCGATAACCAAAACAGTCTATCCCCACGTTTTCCATAGTTATTCGATGAGCGACTGGTGGTTGCATTCATTCGTCTGTTCAGCAATGTACATTGAGATTTCAGTTTTTTTCAGTTGTTGTATCGAATTTTCTTCACTGCTTTGTCTTCACCGGATGTTTTGCTTTTGTCGTTTTTGTGTCTGATGCGTTCAAGATGCCTTGTTGGGGATTTTTCTGTAATACTTGATGTTGAGTGTGTTTCTTGTTGTGTATGACCAGCACATGGTATTTATATGCCGTTGAATGAGCTGTCCGCCTTCTTCCAACTGGTTTATTGCATTATTGCTATCATCTTTGAATTTGTAGTCCATGAATATTGATCTTGTACTGTCTTCAATGTCATTTGAAGTATGTACGAATGAAGTTGTGCTTTTGAACATCTAGCAAATTAATATTGAGTTTCTCTTAGCACGGTCGAGATTTGAACCTTCATTTTACACTTGTGTTCATAAGCATTCTTAGAAACTTGAATCCTTACCTAATAGGAGGTTCATGGCTAGTGGAATTTTTCACGACCGTATGCGTTGATAGAATTCGGCCTTATGCTATTTGGAAATCCATTCATTATCAGCAATTAGTCAAGTGATGCTTTTCTTTTGGGAGGTGGGGAGTCTTACTTTTTTAACTTTTAATATTGAAGCACGGTTATGTTCCATATAAGCGTTAATTTTGGTTCATATTGAATTTCACAGTGGCCGAAGATCATCCCATGAAAGTGCGAAATTTTTGCGAACATTATCGACAACAGAACAGTAGAGAGTAATCATCGTCTTCTAGATTTGTCATTGTTTCTTTTTTTGAAAAAACAATTCTAGTTCAGTCATTGACCATTTTTCTCTGCTGTGTAGACACATCGATAACAGTTTCGCATCATCTTTTATCCTAAATGATAGAGAGTGTTTTGTTTTATCAGCACCGATAGCGTGTAGTAGCAAGTAATACCAACTGATGAGCAACACAGCAGAAACGTTTGTTTTTTGGTTGTTCGATTTTACTTTTGCAGAAGATACGATAATACTTTTGCAGAAGGAGAAACTCACGATGTTTAAGGTCGATCGGCTAGTAAGTCATATGTATGCTGTGTTTCCTAATCCCTTCGTTCTAGACAGAAAAAAACCTTCCAACACCTAGAGGTTTTTCGCCTGAACGTGACTTTCGGGTGTTTTTGAGTACGAAGATGCAATATGCGATAGTGATTCATCACATTGAGATGTTACTGATTCAGAGAAAGTGTCCGACATTTCCATCCGGACATTAAGCCTTGCTCCTGGAAGAAACCAGATAACAATGGATCTACCCTATGTTAAACGGTTCGAATGCTTATGATGATGACCTAGAAATGCGTAGATACAACTTTTCTGCGACTCTATGGAAGAAAACTTATGAAACCGGAAACGTGGCCGTTAGCAAATTAGTGTTTTCGATTAGACACAAAGTTGTCGGCAGCAACATTTTTTCCAGAGTAGCTGACGTTTTGACGATTTAGTCTTCGTCGAGACCTGGAAAGGCCACATTGACACGCAGTCTGCTCACTTAAACACTTTAAAACCTTGACAGTAAAAGCTCGACACCTAGATTTTAATAGCATGGGAAACACCTTGTTTTAAACACTAATCAAACTCATGTTTGCATAAGAAGGTAACACTGGATTACTGGATGGCACTTAGATGAGTACTGGAGCTCAGACCTGTGTGGTCTTTTGTAAGAACGGGCATTCAAATAATCTCAGGTACGGTAACTGGCGTACAATTATACCGTTTTCAAAAGCGCTGAAAGAATATGCTAAAGTTGGAACCTCCTCCATGTGGCAACGGGAAGAGAACTTGAAGTAACCCCAACGTCTGGACACTTAGACACTCAGACGGCCCGTCCTCACTGGTTGTGGGGCTCCAGTATAATCTCCACTTTTCGGAGTTTTGCTGGTTTAACAATTGTGACTTCCTGTAGTCCCGAGGTCAGCTTGGCCAAAGTCCGCCTCAGGTCGTCACCAGTACAGGTAGTCACCGCCGTTGTAAATCAGAGGGAGATTTGCCGCCATGAGACTAATTTGATACCGGGACGGTAGTGGATCCTGGGTATAAATTTACTCTTAGCTAAGCTTCCTGATGGAAGCACCGGAATCGCTCTCAGCTTGGGAGACCCTGCTAGAGAGATGAATCCCCCGCTGAACATCGCAGCCCGTCATCCAAAGAACATATCCCAGCCACGATGAGGCGGTTAACCGTTTGGAGGAACCCCAGCCTAGTGAGTATAAGTTTTAGACTACTGTATTGCTCAATAAGCTTCGGTGTTCGTTATGTGTTGAAATTCACATTCCTTGGTTTGTAAGCCTATGAACGAGCTCCTTTTGCTCACCAAGAACGGTAATTTATTGATCCCTTTTTGTTGTATTAATAATGTGGTTCGTCATAATTGAAGTATATCACCATGGGAGATAATCGGAAGTAGGAGGCACCCTGCAATAAACATGCGATAGATCTCCACGCCCCAGGACACCAGATCCTCCATCTCTCATGGATAGGCAAATTGTTGTCAGACTTGTCTAGGAGGATAGCAGCATTGGCTCGACACATCGGTAGGCCACCGCAGGTTATTCTAAAGACCAGATATGTGTTCAATCACCTCCAATGATGCATAATGAATTCGAATGCATGGTGCATCCCTTAGGTATTGATCAACGCCGGAAGCTTTATCTTTTATTCTTTTTATGGGACGCAGTAGTTTTCAGGCCCAACCAACTAGCAGTTAAATAATGAACCAGGGTTAGAAGTTTAAGCTGTGTCCCGCGTTTGGTTATTCGGCATAACTTCAGTGCGTTGTGCTGACAACTGTTGAAATCTGAACCATTAAACACACGTATACTGATCGATATAAGAGCATTATATGACTCATATTTAACAACAAAGAGTTCACTTCTAAATCAATTCGTTTCTTAGCTCATCTGCGGGGAATGCTTCATTGTCGTGAGCATCTGTAGCGCAGTGATTAGGTGTGTCTTGCAATACCTATATAAGTAGTTCAACCCCGCGTTTGTGCAAACCATGCCCTCTGTAATTCATTCGAGAGCAGCATGCGGATGCCAGAGACTTGTCTAGGAGGATAAAAATAATGACATTATACATCAGCAAGCTCCACATATGGGTCAACTACGCATTCAATCATCCATAGGATAGTACGAATGGGGTGAAATGCATAGTGGCACCCTAAGGAATTGAGCGGCGCCGAACGCTTTTGCGCGTTACCTCACTGTCGCCACAGTAACCTGCCTTTCATGTGAGCGTTAGCTCTTGTTTCAGATAACTAGGCAATTGGTTAGTAGCCCGAGCATTTAGAGCCTAGTTCTCGAGCGAAGTGAGCAGGGGCGTTTAGCGATTTGTTTACCTATCGATCGAATCGATCGGCGTCTTGAAGATGTGGAAGCGCGTACTACCAGCTGTTTCTGTGCTGATACCCACTATCATTAGTTTTGTACGTTCTAATACAGACATATTTCGTACACAACAGACCAGGTACGAAAATATAAAGAACACTGTTCATATATATATATGAATATATACAGTCATCTGTGTGTGCATGTAGGTATATATATATACACATATACATGTATACACATACACGTATATATATGTATATGTTTATATACATTGTCAAAACAAATTCCAGTTTTGTATATACGTAAAGCATATCTGTCTATTTATCCTGTCTGTCTTTATATTTTCTTTTTTCTCGTGACCTTAACAAAAGATCCTGCTATATTGTTTTCACTTGGAGTTTTCTGATGACATGATTGATACCTTTTTTCTCCATTAGTTTTCTTTCGTTGCTGAAATTGTCTGGTTTCTAACTGCTGGAGTGATAAGGAATCAGTGATCACTAAGATATCGTTCCGTAGAAGAAACTAAGAAAAAAACCTAACCTTTACGTTGCTAACGTCACTTCTTGATAATGAGAAAAGCTCTACTGTTACGATTTTCACTGTTAACATAATCACTAGTACTTGTAATTATCAACTTTAGAACCTTTAGAGTTTAGATCGTTGTCGGGAACTCCAGCCAGCGATGGTAATAATGTCACTAATGCCGAAATCTATCGTATCATCACACAACAACTATTGGATGGATTTGCTGTATGGCGAGTGAAAATGTACAATGATCGAGTGTTTGTCGAGAAAACACGTCGCAGTTACTGGTTAGGCGACAGGTACTTTCGTATGGTAAGTTATTCATAGTAATCTGTGATAACTTGAGTGCTTGTATTGTAGAATGGTAAAGGACAAAGCTCTCAGCGTTGACCAATCTCTGAGGGATGCGCCATGCATTCGACTTCATTAAGTATCGTTGGAGGTGACTGAATGCATATATGGTCTTTACAATGATTCGCAGTGGCCTACCGATGTATTGAGCCAGTGCTGCTATCCTCCTAGACAGGGATGGTACCAAGTTGCCGACTCCGGAGGGATGGAAGGCTTGGCGGGTCATGGGCGCGGGGATCGATTCCACGTGTGTTGCAGGGCACCTCCGACCACTGGCGCCACACGCGCTCATACTTGTATCGTATTGGTCAGACCTGTCAATACTTAGTAATTGGTTCGACCGCGTTTTTTCTTCACAATTCCTCAGGGATTCGCCGTGCGGATTTATCCAGGGAATGTTTCCACCGATGCACAAATGCCGGCCACTGCTTGTAATAAAAATCTCGGTACGTTCCAGAATTGCATGGAGAATCCCGCTTCATAAAGAAGAAGGAGGACCTATGTGGTAGATGAAACCACCTGCAGATCAGTACACTCTCATGTGTGACGGATGCGAGACGACGAACCGAATGGAAGAAGTGTTGCCATCAGCACAATGTATGAAGTGTAATCATATAAAAAGTAGAAGAAATAACAAAGAATAACTTAAAGAGTGGGTTGTATGAGCTTCTTTTTCACTAAATAAAGAAATTTTCTACGAACTGTCTTCACGTCTACTTTGCGGATCCCACCACTTCTCGCATTCGATACGTTTCTTTGCATTCATCATCCAGGAAGACCTTCCAACTTTTATGTGTGGCTTCACCTTTGAGGATTTTCCTATTACCATGAAAATCGTTGAATGCTGGTTAAGTCGATTCTTCCTGGAGTCCTGAGATAGCCGTTTTAGAACGTCCGTACTTGGATTGCAGAAAGTGAATTTTCACCAGATAAGTCTGGTACTAATTTCCCGACTTCGGAAGGATGAGAGGCTTGGTGAGCCCTGAGCGGGATCGAACCAGTACAGAGCACAGTCCTCGTGATAATCGTCATCAATACCACTGTTATAATATAAAAAATAAGCAAAGAAACTAGGTGAAATCGCTTTTATTGTCATATTTTGTAGGACAACGACTACTATTGGTTGTCAAGAGATACGTGCGCCTATCGAATGAATGATACGGAAAGAAAATACCTCGTTTATGAGGATGGAATGCCAATTTATGATATCATTTATCAGTAGGTTATCATACTGTTGTTAATGAAATCGTTCACAGACAACCTTCAACAGGATGTCACCATGTCGGACGGGTTTTCTTAGCTCAGGTTATAGAATGAAAACCTTTATTTGAGCCATTATTCTGTTTCACAAGATGGTATTTGTAGATTGGATTGCTATTGCAAAATTAATACATAATCATGAACTTTGGAAGTATCAGCAATAACTAGTAACGACGTAGCGACGGAGTTTGTTTACGTATTTCAGGTGTCAACGCTACGCCGAGTATTGTTGTGGCCTAGACTGTTGTAGGATGTATGATCTTGAACATCCACCGACAACTCCGAAATATCGAGGGCATCGGTGGAACGGCGTTATTTTTTATAATCCCAATATATTTGTGGTTCTGATGTCTCTGATATTCATTATTGTTTGATCACTTTTTATGTATAATTATTTGTTTCTTTTTCACCCATCATTTTTATCGTGAAAGGCCTCATAGGAATAAAAAAATTTGCAGCAGAAAAGAGATTTTTGTTGATTTAAATAGTTTCGTTACATAACTAGGAACGACTGTTCGTCCCAACATTCATCTCGTCACCACTAGCCGTACTCCTGTCGTTTTTCACACCGGCTTTAATCGCCCCTTTAGCCAGTTTTTCTTTAAGTTTAAACGGAAAGAAGCACGATCGGAAGCTGTTTGGGTGTCATGGACAGTTCCAATGTACGCTGATGACCTGACTTGTCGGTTAAAGTTGACCGATCACAGCATTCGGCACTACAAGATCTTCAACGAAGGATGTAATCTTCATCAACAACACGAAAATGCGGAAGATATAATTATTCAGTTTATATAACTCCAAAAAGCTGTTGAGCTCTCACTGTTCTTGATATTTGTGAAGATGACTAGATCGTTCCGCCATAAAATCTTCCATGTAAGAGTGCTTCGATTCAGCGAACTTCTTGACTAGTATTTAGTTGGATGCTTGGACGGACCTTCTCGCTTGTATGTGTCATGCATATCCAACCACTTCATCCATTCGTTTTGTCACCACATAACCATTCTTCAAAGATATAACCGGGTTCATGTACGGGTTTGGCAGTGGCTTTAAGATCTGTTCATTGACACTTTGAATGCCTGTTGTGTAGGAATTTTTCTTAGCTACTGGAAAAATCGTGTAGTAAGGTTCTGGAGTCTTTAACACAAGTAACCTCCACCCATCACTGATCGGTGAAAGGTCTGTTGCCTTGAGACCACAATTCTTCCAAGATGGCGAGGATTTCTGCAACTAGTCACAACCATTGAACCATCGAGTACAAAGTGATAGTCGAATCTCTTTGAGCCGTTTTGGATACCATTATAGATGTTTCGATAATAAAGGATAAAAGGAAAAAGTTCTCGGCGTTGGTCAATCCTTGAGGGATGCCCCACGCATTCGACTTTATTGAGCATTATTTTTGGTGATTGAATGCATATCTGGTCTATACAGTGACTCGCGGTGTCGCAGCGACTTATCAAGCCAGTGCTGTTATTGTCGCAGACAAGTCTAGTACCAATTTGTCCACCAACAGAGGAATGGAGAGCTTGATGAGCGTGGCGCGCGGAATCAATTCCTTGTATGTCGTTGGGCGCCGCTAACCACTACGCTATACGCGTCCCTTTATTTTGATAATATTTGATGAAAACTACGAGCAGTTAAAATTATATAGTAAATAGTTAACTAAATGATATGAGAAAGGCAATGGTTGTGCAATTTGTTAGATCTCTCGCTCACTATGGAATAGAATACTGACCGACGAACATGAATCATGAGAAATTCGTGAATGAGGTGAAAGTTCGCAATGATGACAATTTGGCGAAAGGAAAAACGAGCTGCGGCTAAATACAAGAGGCCTTTGATCAGCGAGCGAATAAATAAACGGATTCAAGGTTTCATGCTTGTTTTCGTTGTTATTGAACGTGGTTCAGGATGAAATTGCGAGCGAGGGTAGAGAACTATTCAGCGAACGTAGAAAGAAGTGAGGAGGATGGAGATTACATCTGTCGTATGCTTGTTGATGACATATCTTGTCATGGAGACAATGAAGTGTAACTAATCGCTGTACGGTAACATATACTCGGTCTTAACTTTTAGTGAGATCATCCAGGCTGAGTTCAGCGGTCTAGGTAATCAGAGACCTACTGTGGATACATTATCCATGTTTGCATATGTTATCATCTACTGATCATCTACAGTGGAACTTTCTGAGAAAGAATTAAGGTCCCTTCTGTTTACTCGCAGCTGGATCCCTAAAGTCAACCGATCAATGTCATGGTTTGATAGCGAGAACTCAGCGCTCTCTTCGTTGAATCGTATAAGTGGCAGTTGGTCGCCAAAATACAAAATAGACCAGAGCTATGGAATAAAATCTATAGTGCAATTTCACAAGGTTGCGTGTGGTACAGTGGTTGGAGGAGCTACTGCGACACACACGTGGAATTGATCCCCGCGCCCATGGCTCCTCAAGCCTTTCATTCCTCCGAGGTCAGCAAATTGGTTTCAGACTTGTCTGGGAGGATAGCAGCACTGGCTCGATACATCGGTAGGCCACCGCGATTCACTGTAAAGGCCAGATATGCATTCAGTCACTTCCAAACGATACCTAGTAAAGTCGAATGCGTGGCGCATTCCTGAGGGGATTGATCAACGCCAAAATCTTCATCCTTTATTCTTTTTTAATGTGATTCACGTATTTTTAATCTGTTTGCAGAGAATATTTGGAATTCTGTCTTCGACCGGAACCGGTTCGGAATTTGCCGTAAAGGCTATCGTTCTATCTACGTGCAATACTAGAATTATTTCCACAGATGTTCTCTTCCCTCGAGATGAAAACAATCCTATGTCACGGCTGAGCTCGCTGTCGATGAGCTACCAATGGTCATCTTCTCGATAAAATCACTAGAAAAGGGCATCGTAACCGAGGTCTGATACCCTTATTTCTTCGAACGAGCCAGCAAGGTCACTAAGCGGCTTTGGTACGGGACGAAGGCCAATGGAGTGTACTGATGCAGAATTTCCGAATAAGAGACAGGATAACACAGGTTCTAACAACGTTCGTTATAAATTCTCCTAAAAGTCACTGGTTTTCAGAAAAGCGGTCACGTGTCCGGCTTATACAACAACAAGGAGAAGTGTGAAAAGAGAGAATTGTTGCGCAATATCTCCTCAAGGGACTGGTTCTTCCTTTCACAGAAACAACTTCTTCACGAATAAGCCTGCTGATATAAAAGCATCGTTCGTGGAAGGTGTCAGTTAATTGTATGTTTAGATGGTGGTTTCTTTCACTTTGGAGTTAAAGTCCGTTAAAGATCGCAACCAGGGACCAACAGAATGCCTGAGCAGTAGCACATAGGTTATGATTAGNTATGATTAGCGTGCAGATCATCACTGCTTCGTCATTCAATCATCGCCACTCTAGTAGCTCTTTCTTTTTCATCTGTCATATTGGTTTTTGGCAGCTATCCAATACAGATGCCTTGGGGAATCCTTCGGTCGAATGCTATACAAATCCTCACATGTAGTCAATCATTTCGTAAACACATGACTTGTTGTACACACACAGTAGGACTATTCTTTTTCTGCATGGGGCCGACCGCTGCGTATTGCTTTATTTCGCAGGAAAACTCGGGTTTTGCAAGGATATTTTCCCTCATTGGTTAAAAAGTCGCATCTGTTTCTTCCTGTCACGCATTTTGTTAGCTTTTACTAATACTCGTTAGATTTTTATTCATATATGCAGGTGTGAAATTTGTACTGTACTTAGGGTAGATTTAACTAATCGATAAGGCGAAGAGTTCAAATGCCTTTGAAGGCCGTCGTCACACTTGATAAACATCCACTACAGCGCCGAAAAAATCGATTATTGGTTACGGTATTTTCTAGACAGGTTAGTTATCAGGAAGAGCGCTGAATTATAACGAAATAGTTCCACGATCTCACATGGATTGTGCAAGACCACGACTGATAACAAGTTCACAAAACACTTTCGAAATGCACCATGGTCCTGCCTTTCACTGCTCTTCTACAATACATCTTAGCTGAATTGCATTTGTGTGTGTTATTTGCTTTTTCGTAATCAGTCCATTAAAGGAACTATCGCCCACCAGTTCCTAATGTTAGTCGTTAATCTTAAGGGTGCGTGTAGCGCAGTGGTTAGAAGCGTCCTCCCAAAACACATGAGATCGATTCAGCGCCCCAGATCCACAAAGCCCTCCATCCCTGCGGGATCGTCAAATTGGTACCAGACTTGTCTGGGGGGCAGCAGCACTAACTCGACACATCGGTAGCCCACTACGAGTCGTTTTATAGGTCAGATATGCATTCATTCACCTCTAACGATGCTCGAAGAAGTCGGCGGGGGACATGGCGCATCCCTCAGGAGCTGATCGACTTCGAGAACTGCACCCTTTGTCCTTTATAGCAGTTACGTTGTTAAAATATTCATGTAATGCACCGTTATTGAACAGCGGCCAGTTTCATAACCCCTGTTTTGCATCTACCACATAAAATGACAAGCGAATAAGTGGCTAGGGGTGTGTGAGTCGGGTTAGGGTAGGGGAGGGAAGGAGGCGGAGTGAACTGTCGACGAGTCAGCCTTCGATTGTCAGGCACCTCATTCTGGTGTTCTGCACCCATACGAAGCGCTACTGCTACGGATAGATTTACCACCGACATTTTCCTAGATGGTTTTCGATCAGTCCTGGATAAAAGGAAATACCTACCCAGACTACTAATGCAGTTGTTTGTCGAACTGGGATTTCAGAGGCAATCGTCCAGCCGCTTAGATCGTTTCTCTGGCATATTGATCGCATTCGCGTGCGGCGGTGTTCGCACACAACCAATTTGTCAGTGATGCTTCAGTAAACCTATTCGTCTTCTATTTGCTGTTTGGTTTTTACTGTAGTTCTTTAAAGGTGAGAAGACTGTTAGTTTTTATAATTTGAGTGCGTTTGTGAGCTGAGATCTGAAAACTTTTGCCATTCGTTTCGCTAACTTGCAACCGCTATCCTATGAATTAACGTGGTTCCTTGGTGCGTTTGGGTGAAGCTTCAGGATTTGTCATCTCCTCTCCTTCGTCTCAGGTTGTTGTCGGCCTTTGGAGGTACATTGGCTTCCTTTGCGAACTAGGTTCCACCATAACGGCAATGTTTCCTACGCGAAGTAAATCAGTTAGTTTGGAATCGTCTGCATCACCGTCTTTGTAAAATAGAGAATTACATAATTTGTCCTAATGATAGAGAAGAAGATTCAATAATCTTAAGCATAATGTGTATTAGAAGAGTTTCCGCTTTACATTGCATTTGCCTCTTGTTTGTCTGCGTTGTGAAAATCACTTCAAAAAGGGTAATAGATAACGCTCTCGGCGTTGATGAATACCTGTGGGATGCGCTATGCATTCACCACCATTAAGCATCGTTGGAGGTGATTGAATGTATTCGAGCCAGTGCCGCTATCCTCCCAAACAAGTCTGGTACCAATATGCCGACCCGAGAGGAATGGATGGGATGGTGAGGCTTGGGCGCGTGGATCGATCCCATGTGCATTGCAGGGCGCCTGCGACCAATGACGTGCCCGATTTGTTAGATCGCCTCATTTTGTCGTTAATGTTCGACTACTGAGAGCATTGTTTTTCATTTATGTTAAGCCGATCTTCATCAAGAGCTAAAGTAAGTGGTTAAAAGTCTGTTTGTCGAATGACTTTACGAATGTACTTTGGCTGTGATCACAGAGCTCTTACAAGATTTACCCTACGCGCTTTCCGTTTTTGTAATTGATTTTGTTTGTATGTTGCACGGATTCGTTGCTTTTCTGTAGTTGTTGTTTCGAAGTTCGAGCATTTCTTCTGTTCATTTTTGCAGGAAACCGAAAAGAACATGGTTCACTATAAACTTACGTACTTCGATGGTCGTGGGTTGGCTGAATGTGCTCGCCAGGTGTGTAGTACTTGTACCAACACTTATAATCCTGTTAGTGATCGAGTGTCCTTATTCCTCAGCATATTTATCTTGGATTCTTTTGTTCGCCGTTAGCACCCACCCCAACCACTTTATCCTAGCTTTCTGTGGTGAAATAATACCCAAGCAAAGCTCGTTGGATTTGTCATAGGGGACTAGGTTGAGCCTAGAACAGTTTGTCAGTCACCACCGGCGCAGGCGTAATGCTTGTTTGATCGCGTTGACGAGGGAGCGTACACAACAGCTAACATATCATGATCGTATGAATGAATGTAGTTATATGCATACGAAAGGTATGAGTCAATGAACTCCAGGAGAAGGAAACTAGGAGCCCACTTCCGCTATCCATCTGGCGCTTCAGGGTAACTAAGGTCCGCGGGCTCTAGATCCAGCATGAAAGGGATTCGTAGCTTCTACCAGTCGTATGAAATGAAAGTAGTCGACTACTTGTTTTAACACTACTGGTCATTTTTGACCGTAGGCTACTTGGATGTCCATTGATTATGTCTTGCAAGTTCGTCGCCGCTCCCCATCCTTATTTTCAACAACTACTTATTTCTGTATCCCATTAATTTTCTTCCAGGTGTGGGTATCTCCCCGTTGGCGCTTTAAGTCTTAGTGCTGCGTTTATATTCCTTAATTTGATTTCGATTCTCTTGATTTTTTTTACTTACCAAATTCCTAAATAGTTATATTATTCCAGCTATTTGCACTTGCTGACCAGCCATACGAGGATGTTCGTCTGACTAAAGAACAGTTCGCTCCATTGAAAGCAAGTGAGTTATACACTCAGAATATTCTTTTTAGTCTTCAATACCTCCATAAAATTAGTATTGTGGATTTCAGGTTTGCCTTTTGGACAAGTGCCAGTGCTAGAGGTAGACGGGAAAGAACTAGCGCAATCGCAGGCAATCAATCGCTATTTAGCCAAGACTTTCGGTGAAGTTGTTCATGAATTATTCATTGAATGGTTATTGATCAACTGCGAATGCTCGTTTGATTGCACTGGCTGGTCGAGAATATTCCACAAGTCTTTTAACACACCTTATGGAACAGTTGTTCTTGTCTGATAAATTTTGATGAGGCTTTTTTTTAATCTGAGTGAATCACACAAGTAAAGAAACCGTATTTTGCAAAAAAGAGAGAGAGACTATCTATAATTCTAATAATCAACGTTGACTATCGAGGACAGTCTGTATCAAAACCAAGGTTGGCTGGACGGGTCATAGCTATACAACTAAGCGAAGAGTCTTAACCAAGCTCCATCAATAGTTGGCTTCTGCAGAATGTGAAGCGTACACTAGGATCACAAATCTTTTAATAGGATTAGTTTACGAGGATTGAACGAGAAGTATGATGGTTTTCATGTCCTAGTGAAATAGGAGCTTAGCCTGCAACTCATGCAGCAGAGATGGACTATATTTATTGACGACTGTTGATGTCATTGATGTGCTTGTGTTTCTCATCATCTTTGACGGGAGTTTCAGGGTTTGCTGGAAAGGACGCGTTTGAAGAAGCGGTAATCAACTCACTGGTCGATCTGTATACTGATTACAGAACTGAGCTTAAACCATACTTCTATGCACTTCTTGGCTTTGCGCCAGGCGACCTGGTAAGTTATTCAACATATTGACTTGATTACAACATTATGATAATTTAATGGAAATTCACGATTCAGGATAAGTTGGCGAAGGAAACGATGGTCCCAGCTCGCGACAAATTTCTCGGATTCGTTACGAAATTTTTAAAGAAAAATGCTGATAGCGGTGCGCTCATAACAAGACTTTTAGCTGCCTTGAAAACTTACATTTAAAGAATCAGTATGTATTCTATCATCGATGAGCTAACACGACGTTGATAAAAAAAACTTTACTTGGTTAACGTTTTGGCAGCTTGGTCTTCCTCAGAGCCGGATTGATCGGAGTCGATTGTCCACAGCTGTTTCCTCGTCCGAGATAGGTTTTCGTTTTCGTGATCGTATCTAGTCGAATCCAGTGAAGCACTGCTCGAATGAAACATCGCGCACCAGCGCTCTTTCATGCAGG